CTTTGGGTATTTAGGCTGTAAAATAAAACATCTAAAATTACACATTGCGGCGACAAATGCTGCAAAATCGACATCTCGAAAATAAATTTGGAATGAAGCTCAAAATTTTGCGTGCAGTTAGAATTCATACTTTTTCTCCCTTCGTGGGTTCCTCCTTCAAATTGTTTCCAATGCGAACAAGCCAACTCACGAAGCCTTTCTGTGCATCCATTGCACTGGCCTAAATACGAATGAAACGATGAGGTACCAGGAGAGAAGTATGCAAATTTTTAAAAGGCACTTACTTCACAAGTGCACTCTATGGCATCGTCGTTTTCAAAACAATGACAGCCCAAGTTGAGCGTGAGATCTGAGTTAGAACATGTAGAAAAGTAAGTAAAAGGGACATGGAAAAGGTGCAACTGCTGAGAAAACAAAATAAAGAAATGTCTGAGTTCCCCTTTCTAAAACAAAAAGAACAAAGAAAGGAAATGTCAGAGAAGAAATAATAATTCAGGTACCTCCGCTCAAGGTAGCTGGAGATAAGAACCGTAATGAAGTAGCAGCACTTTCGCTTCTAGTAAGCTGCAATCCGGAGTTGAGATTTTCGGGATTCACTGAAATGAAAACAGACTAGACCGTATATGCGCCAGACCTATAGACGTACGTAAAGACCCGTTAGCTAGACATCCAGACCGATCATTTATAGAGGTCCACTTCTTCAAAGACCCGATTGGCTTTGGGGGCTTGAATTCATTAAGGATCATCCGCCTGTGTCATATCTTATGAACAAAGTCGCAAGTAAATACTAGAATAAGAGTTATAGAGATGAGCAATACTTATGAAACACTTTTCGAGAATTCGCAACCATGAGACATTGATATAGCAATCAAATGATAGCCAATCCACAAGAAAGTTGCTTGAGCCATTAAATCAAAATCACATTCCTTTTATAATTTACAAAGAACAAACCGTAAAATATCTCCGTGTGCAAGATCGCGGTCCTTGATTCTCAATCTATCAACACCTAAGGACTCTAACAGCCACACACATATTAAAGCGAAATGAAGACTTCCCTTGCATCTAAATTAGAAAGTATGCATTCACGAGAAACTGCAAGTTGTAGTAAGTCGAAGCAAGTCTGACTTCTTCATCAGCAACTAATTTCAACACAAATTTGACCCACCGTTCCTCGATATAATTGTGAATAGCACTAGCGACCTCCTTGTCATTTATGTACAAGCTAATAAGCTGTGGAATAAAGAAATCTACGCGGGAATGGTGAAAAGAAAAGAACTTTTTCCCTAAACAGTATGCAGGTTAAACGAAAATTTGAAAAGGACATTAGCTGATTAAACGCTCACCTAAATACTGTTTTGCTCCTTTTTCCGAGCAAGAAAAAAGGTACTTCATGGCGATAGCTGGAGAAAAATGAGATGATTCGAAAAGCCGCATAAGCAAGCTTGGAGGTTCTACTAGCGGACACTAAAACAATGCATTCACTTTACATAACAGATCAGTAGGGCAACTCTCCTTACCGTAATATGCACAGGATCGTTTTTATTTGTATGTACATCTTCATCGAGATTTCGTTGTTGCCCTTCATGAAGAACCTCTGACTCGTCAGAAATTGGGATGTCCTTCAAAAGTCAGATTACGACTGAACTGGAAACCTACATAATAGTTAATTCAGGATCACAACTGCTAATCAAAGATGAGATGAGCAAAGCAGAGTTTAAGTTAGATTTTCAGCGAAAGATATATACTGCAATTCTGACTCTCAATAGCAATTCACTTCATTGATAATTCATCATTACACCTGATCCACGTAGTCAGATACTTGACGCTACGGGATAGGATATAAGGGCCAGAGTGATGGCAACGGAGCGCAATTCACAAGGATCAAAAAGATCCTGAATAAGATGTATATAACGCCTTACGAAGAAACAACAACAACTGCACTCTGGAAACAATGACTCCATATGAAAGACTAGCGACTAACCAGTTCGTCGGTTTGTGGTTGGATGGCTTGCACAGGAAGTTTTGGAAATGACTGAAATAAGACGAATTAGTACGGCCATTACACTGAAACCAAGAAAGGAAAAAATGGTTCAAGTAAAATTTACAACAAATTCGTCTGGTGCTAGATATACATGAGGCATAGAAGAGGACGATTCTGAAATGGCAGCCCCAATACATTGCTGAATAAACATCAAGGAAGAAGGAATTGAAAAAGGAACGCAGAGCTAACAGTTTACCTGATCTGGAATGATTAAGCTTCACAGAACCATTTGAAAGGTTCCTTCGATGACGTTCCTCAGCCTTCGAAATGGCAAAGGTTTGGTTCAGTGTGCACCTTAAATGCAAAGTATTCCACAAAGTGCTTAAAAAGAAGTGACGGGATATCGGTGTAAAACTGACTTGGAACACAGACCCGTAGAAGAATGCTGACACTCAGGAGACAGCGAAAATGAATCCATCATGCAGACCCATCAATGGTAATTGCTACAGAGTTGAGGCAAGTATTTTGCCTTCCACAATAGATAGTGATCACGTACTACAAAGATTAATGCAAACACGCGGCAATGCAGTATGACATCCACTACACCGGCCGAAAAACGAGTTCGGCTTCAACGAAATCTATAAACAAACAAGCTTGAGGCGTGAATGAATTCATGAGTCGCAGTTGTGGCGAAAAAACAAACAGAGACGAAATCAACAACCCATGTGTAACAAAAACTCTTGAAAATGGCTAAACGCTTTGCTATTTCAACCGATGTCGAATAGCTATAGCAGTCGCGCTAAGATTTTGGTTGGAGCACATTTTCCTACGAAATTTTGTTGAGAAGTGAAAATTTGCTCATTTTTCTTTTCTTTACAAGAAGTTGTTGAGGGCTTGTTTCTTGTAGATGCTCTGCAAATATTTGCCATATCATCAAAATTTTCAGACTGCCTCATTTTTGCCGCAAAATTAGGTGATGTGATACACTTTCTACATTGTTAAGCGTAACTGTAAATAGCCCCTATTGCTCATTTGATGAGTAACTTTTCAAAAAAATTTGGCTGAGCTCAGTAAACTCGTAGACCTTTTTTCCTCTTGACTTCTAAAGGTTGACGGATTAAGGTGAGCGGCGTAGCGAGAGGTCCCAAAGACAAGCCTATCCACGGAGGTAGCAATTAGAGGCGCGAGTCATCTTGGATAGATCTGGCAACTTTCCAAGAGCTCGCTGCAACTGCACCGACCGCGCCTCAATTGGCGTATATCCAAACCGTGCGTGCACAATGAAA